GAAATTTGCCATCATTTGTACTGATTTTTTAAAATCAGAGTGGAGATTTTTGGTGAAAACAAACTTAAAACCATCATCTTCTTCCATTCCGGTCTCATTTCTGTTACCAAAATAAGCTTGGAAGATTCTTTTGTAATAAACTTTTGGATGTTCATTCTTGCCCTGCGTGACCTTGTCAGCGGCTGGAAAACCAGCAGGTCCCGTGCAAGAGTCATACTCTTTGATCAGAGCCTCACACAGAAGGTTGTAATCCCTTCTCGTTGCATCTGGCAGACGCTCGATGAAGGTGAACACCTCTCTGTCCGAAGTGAGTCGTATCAGACTGATTTTATCCTCTACCGTAGCATTAGGATAAGCTCTCAATCTGAAATCCAGATCTTTGAGATACGCTTTTGTTCCTGCTGACCCCATAGGGCCGGGAACGAAACGTTGTACATATTTAGAGACTTTCTGCAAATCATCCATTGAAGGAGACTGTATCAACGGTCTCACATGCGTGATTGGTGCAGATTGGTCAAGGCCTGCTCCTACCGCCCATGGTGGGGGTGGGGGTGGCTGATAAGGAGGAAGAGGTGCATATCGGTGCAGTTCTGTCCCTACCGCCCATGGTGGTGGGGGTGGGGGCATGGTGTCAGGAGGAAGAGGTACATATTGGTGCAGTTCTGTCCCTACCGCCCATGGTGGGGGTGGGGGTAACGGCGTGTTGTCAGGAGGAAGAGGTGCAACAGCATCTGACTGGAGAGTTCGTGGCTGTCTCGGACCCTTAGACTGTTCGTCTTTGAGTCTCAGACCAGGCCGCCCCATATCAGAAATCTGGTTTATAGCTGTAGCTAAATTCTCCTCACAAGCTTTCAGGTCCTCCTGTGATGTCTGATATTTTTTTACTAAAGTCAGCCATCGTCGGAGTGATTCCGTTTTGTCTGCTTTGCAAGCGTCCAGCTCCTTCAAGGCGGTCTGTAACTGTGCTTTCAGCACGTCGTTATCTGAACGCGAGGCTTGGTACGCTTGTTCTCTATCCTCTGCTTCCGATAGTGATGCTTCAAGTACTTGTAGTTTGCTGTTCAGCAAAGCAATTTCTGTACTTGTATCTTGCTGTAACTGAAACATCTGTTCATAATGTTTCGTCCTGAGGACCTCGTGTTCGCTTCTAAATTGACGGACGTATTCTTCCGTTTTTTGAGCCAAATCTATTTCACTGTCTAACCTTTGTTTGAGGTAATCAGTTTGCTCAACAGCCTTATAGAATGACTCTTTCAGCAAGATTGCAATTTTTGCCAGCTTTTCATAACTGGACTTTGTGATTTCTGCAGAGGTCACACTTTCTGCAACCTCCTTCAGATTGTCCACTAACTCTTTTGGGTTCATGCGCTCTGTCTGAGTCATAAATGGATGTAAGGACGCTCCGAGAAGCGCGAGCGCATTCTCGAGGCAGTCCGCCATTCCTTTTGTGTCAAAATCTTTTTCTAACACACCTGCCATGTTTTCACTGTGTAGCAATTTATCTGTTTGAACAGTTGCAAGCTTTAGATATTTTACAGGTAAATATTTGTATTCAAGTCAATGAGTTTTCACACTTATTTTAGCTTTGGGTTTACACAGAAGTACTGTTATAAGTCACTTATTCAACTGTGGGTACCTTTCTCAGGTTTTACCCCAATTCATGAATATTTAAGTAAATGCCCTTTTTGCAGTGTTACTTTTTGTGCTTATTTTCCACAGATACTAGAGTACCAAGCTGTTTTTAGTGTATTTACTCTAAAACACTGAATTTTTTATAAACCTGCAAATTTTCTTTTAGTCTCACAGCAATATTAGTTTAAAACATATTTTAAACCGTTCTGTTCCAGAAATTTTGCTATTTTAAACAGTTACTCAATCAACCCAGGTGGGTGAAAAGAAAAAAGAATTTGATGATGAGGAATAATCAGTCTTTCTTCAGAAAAACTGTATTTGCTCCTGTATAGCTTCTATTTAAAATTAAATAGAGAGATATTTTATTTAGGTTGTAAATTAAACAGAAAATCTCTTTTTCCTGATAAATTTACTCTTATTTAGTGATTTTGCAATTAAACGTGTATTATCTTTCAAGCAAAATGAGTAAACTGTTCAACTCTGTGAATATTTGTAACTGTATCTGTTTTAAAAAGTTAATGTTTATTTTTGTACCTTATTTTTAAAGGATTAACAGTGAAATAAACTTTTTGGTGAATGCTTCTTTGCATAAATACCTATTACTTCTTAAAATGTAAGATAACAGTGTTTTATTCAGCTTTGAGGAAGTTTGTTAACTCAGAATTTGCCTTACAGAAAAATAAAAAGACGTTTAATTTCACTCTTTACCTAAAAAACGAAGTGAAATCTGTGATCTCACGTCTCGCCAGGAGATGTCAGTATTTCCTCAACAATTATAACTCCGTCACTTTTTGTGTTGTCCACTAGGGGTGCTATTACTTCCTGTGGCGTTCGGTTGACATCCTGTTGTTAGCCGCTTAGCTTGAAGTTAGCTTCGGCTAAACTCGGTCAAAATCAACATTTCTGAACGGATTTTTTACACAAACGTGGCAAAAGTTTTTGCAATCAGACTTTATAGCTTGAACATGAGTGTTTGGGACTGATAGTAGCTTCATTTAGTGATTTTAAGCGTAGTTTTAAGCTCCGGTCGTTAGCTTGTTAGCTTAAAATTAGCATCGCTAGCTTTGTTTAAAAACATCGTTTTTTGGCGAATTTTAAACTCTAACGTAGCAAAATTTCAGCAAGCAGGCTTCGAAGCACTTGACCAGCGTGTCAAAATCACATTAAAGTTACTTTTCAGCTTTAAAAAGCAGATTTTATTTCCCTATGAAAATGAATTTCATATCCGGGTCACGTGACTGAAATCACCAATTGCAGCAGCGTAGGGTGAGAGGAAGTGACGTAGCCACGTCAGTCAAACCTTCAACCAATGAAAGCGCTACACAACAGTGAATTCAACCAATCAGGAAGCGTATTCTCCAGCTAGCAAGTTAGATTTAGCTTGAAATAGTTCGTCAACTTTTCGTCTTTTAAACCATCAAAATGCACTTTTTCTGCTAAAAATTGTAACGAAACAACTTCTAACTGTGTTCTGAGATGGCACTCAGCTTTTAAAACGTTTATCCATCTGTTCAAAATACTCGTTCAAACTGAACAGAACCGAACTGGTCACAGCCGGGTCTTAAAGCAGAACCTCGTACTTTTTAGACAGAATAACGTCTTCCACAGCTCATTAGCTCTTAGTTACACATAACAGACGTACAATTTCAGCTTACACAAGACTTATGACACAATTTCAGCTTTTAAAACATTGCTAGCCCAACGCTTAAACATGCAGCGTTTAGTTGCAGAGTGCAGCTCCAAGCGCGCAGCTCAGCCGCTGCGTAAACTTTACAGCTCATCAGCTGTTACTCTTTCACCATGCCAACACGTAAAATCAATTTACACACGGATTTAACAGTCATTCATGAAATCTACGGGCCACCAGTTTGTTGTGAGACACGTGAGGTACGTGTCACTTGTTGTATGACAAATATATGGATATATATTTATGCATACTTTTCACGAGTTCTTCATTTTTCTGACTGTAAAAGTCGTGCGTTGATTAGCTCAAAACAGAATTATAATCCCAAACGTTCCTGGTTCTTCATAACTCCAAACTCTTCATAACCGGCTGCACTCTCAATCTGCTCATTCTGTTGGACTATCGGACCTGTTGTCAGCTCTCATTCCAACATCTCTCAGAACTCTCATTCTCTTGGAATTCTGGAATCCATAATTCTCTATTCCTTCTCTTCTCTATTCTATGAACTGAGAAGTTGCCACATTTTATTTGGGTCGACTTCCTGTTCAATTTAGAGCTTTCTGATTCGTGGAAGGACCAGAAAGAGGAGTGGATTTGTGACGTAAGATGTTATCATAAGTCAAGGATTGTTTACAACATACAGAAAAGATTATTTCAGCAACAGCAGACTTCGTGGAGTCTCACACTTTGTAATCTTTTCAAATAGTAAAACATGACATTTTTCTCGGTAAACATTTTAGTTGACCGAAAACCAACCTTTAACATACTTACGACAGCTTGCTCATTTCAGACATAAAATCAAGAAAGGCATATTCAGGTGATTTCTTCTCTGAATGAGGAACAAAAATCATTACTTACTGTTTATGTAAAATAAAAATTAGTAGTTCTTTTCAACCTGTAAAGCATTGAGTGAACTAACACAATTTGATTATCAAAACATTTGTAAGACAGTAATGATTATAAAGAATTGTCTTTTCTGCTTGATTAATTCAAGAAAGAAAGTTCATCAGATGGTTCAGACTTATTCAGATCAATGAAAATAACAGTCTCTGTCCATCTGGTAGATTTGAGGTTATCTGGTTCACTACACATGCATATTCTACTGAGCGTGTTTTTTACCCTAGATGTCCAAATGTTGTTAACGTTTTAGCATTTAACATGTCCCACAATGTCCCCGCTCGTCCCTTAAGACAGGGCCGAATCAGTTTCAGTCTGTTTTTCTCTGCTGTTTACAACCAAATTAAAATATATGTACTGTATACATAAAAAATTACATTTGTGGATCCAGCAGATGACATCCAAGAAGTAAGGAAAACCTTGAGGTTATATCTTCTTTCGCCTTCTTTCATTTCTTCGGGCTTTTGCTGTAAATCTCACGCGTTTTTGTTTTTCCTGTAAATTATGTTAAAACTCCATAACTGTCAAATAAAGTTCCTTCACTAAATGTGTTTTTTTGTGCAGGCTTTCTTGAACCCTTATTTAAATTCAGGATCTGTCTCTGCAGTGACGAGAAAAGACAAATGGAAACTCAAAATTTCCAAGTCCTATAAAATCCCACTTTACTCACATCATTTATATTAAAAGCAGAATCTACACAGATGTTGTAAACAGCTCAAATGAGCTTAAAACACTTTTCAAAACTCTTTTTTTTAAATAAATATTGCAATGTTTAACCCAAACACTGTTAAAAATAAGGGTTGTCTATGAAATTAGGAGTGTTTTCTAGCTCTTGCTCCTTTTCCTTCTGCTGGGAGGCAACGCCTTGGACCAGTAAACTGCCCAGTGCCGCTCCAGCTGCAGCCCAACCAGCTGCAGCCCAACCAGCTGATTTGACGTTTATTCCCATAGATAACCTGAAGGAAGCAACAAAAGCCCCGATCGCTGCTCCCAGTGCTGCGCCTCCAGTCCTCAGCCAAGTCCTGTCCACCTCAGGTTGCCAGTCTTGGTTTGCAGTTTCTCTCTATGAAACCAAAAACAGGAAAGTAATGAGTGTGTTGTAAATAGTGTTATATAAACTATTAATAATGCAGTTATTTGTAGCACGACAAAGTTTAGCAAAGGAAGTTGACTACGCTGAATAATTTTCAGTCTGCTTGTTTCTGTTCAGAAAACTGATGCCTGTCTCCATCGTTCTTTGGGTGAGAATAGGTCGAAAATCCATCACAGGACCACGCAGGGACAAAGAAACAAACACTCTTCAGTGACGTTTTAGAGTCACAAATCTAATCGCAGCTAAACATATTAGAAAAATTAACATTTGAACATAAAGCAGCAAGGCAAGAACTGTGCGAACCAAAAATAGCAAATGGCTCATAAAAAGTATTTTTATTTATTTTAACCTAGGGAAACAGTTCATTCAATTAAATGGAGGGGGCGGGGCTTAAAACTTGCATTGGGACCACCCAACAAGGAAGTTGGTCTTGCTCCAGCTTCCACTTCCAGGTTCCAGCTGGAAGTCTAGATATGAACAGTCTATGGTGCTAACTGTAACCACAGTGCTCCGCTGGTTTGATTATGTTTATAAATAGTTTATTGTCCCAGGTAAACCTGCTCACCTTCTCAAGAAGCACATCATCCAACGCTGTTCGGCTTCTCTGACCCGTTTCTGCAACTGAAAACAAAATCCATCAGTTGGTCATTTTTAATCCAATCAGATTGATCAGAATTGGTGTTGCTGCTGGATTAAGAGGAAGCTAGACTTGTTTTCTTGGTCCTTGAAGATTTGACCTCTGACATGTTTCTTCAGCTTTGAACAGAATTGAACGTGGAGGAAATCCAGAGGACAATCAGCTGAAATGACTGATTGGACCAGGAAGACTGCTTCTGCAACCGTCCATCATTCCTGACAGTGCTGACACCAGCCTGTGTTCTCACTGTCAGACTCAAAACATGTGCAGGATGCTTCTGCGTGTGAGGTGTCTGGTCTGAATTAACTCGTAAAAACTGAGTTTGGGGTTTTCAGTGTTGCTGTATTTATTCCACAGTGTGACAGACAGTGGCCCCGACTGAACCTTTTAGATTAGAGACAAGAAATGAACTCAAGTAGCCTTTTATTTGGGAACCTCAGGTTTTTTAGGTCGTTCTCACCAGATCTGACGTCGTCTCCGAGGAGGCTCGGTGCAGTCGTGGAAGTCCATTTTGGTTGTCCGTTAAGCCCCAATGACCTGATCTGACCTTGATCAGTGCGTTCTTTCGTCTGGAGGTGCATTTGCATCCCTTCAACCGTTGCTTTCAGCAGTTTCTTTGTATCTACGTTCTCTCTCTTAATCTGTTTAACTGTTTCTTTGAGTTCTGCAGTTTCTGTTTTGTGAGTCGTCATCATTTGGCTGAGCTCCTTATCTTTCCTCTCGCACGTCGCCCTCAAAGTCGCCGTCTCTACTTCCTGTTCTTTTAATCTTTCCTCCAGAGCTTTATTTTCTACCTCACCCTTTCGCTTTGTATTTTTTAACAGCTCGTCTTTCACAGCACACTGTTCACTCAGGTTTCTTATCCTCACTTCTTTTTCCACGATAATCTGCCTCAGATTGATGTTCTCCTTCTTGATATCCAATAATCTGCTGCTTATCTCTACCTCGAAGTCTTTCTTCTCTTCTAAGGCCTTCGTTAAAGCTTCAACCTGATCACCTTTCTGTTTACTTGTCCTGATCAGGTCTTCTACTCTCCTCTCTTTCTCTTCAACTATTTGCCTGAGGAGATTATGGTTGGCCTTTGATTTCTTAAGATGCCTCAAAGTCGTTTTGGACTTGTGCTCCAGCTTTCTGTTGCTCTGCTGGAGATCAGTGAGACCCCTCAACAAGCTGCCGCTGTCGTTCTCCATCACGGTCTCCTTGATCTTGTCCATAAGTTCTCTCACCTGAACGTCTCCAGCCATGTTTGTGTTAGCGAAAACATGAAATCTGTTTCCACATTTGTCCACTAGCCACTGCAGAGCAGGCCATCTCTCAATGTGCTCCTCAATGGAGGTGACACCCAGCTTGTCTCCCCACGTGAACAGCACAATGATCCAAGTCCAAACCCCCAGAAGGTTCAGAAGTTCCTCCGTGTTCCTCCTGTCGGTTTCAGTGAAGCTCTCGTCGCAGCGGACGACCAGTAAGACGGCGTACGGAGTGGGTGCACACAGAGAAACACCGTGGGAGATCTGTTCCTGCACCTGCTGTGGCGTGTCCTCAGAGCAGTACCGTCCATGCCAGCCAGGAGTGTCGACAACACGGATCTGCTGCTCCCCGATGGCGCCCTGTCTCTCTGCGCACCGACATGTCGGCTGTCCAACAGGGAAGACTTTATCTCCCAGGATGGTGTTTCCAGTTGAGCTCTTACCAACATGCTTCGGCCCCACAACCAGAATTCGAAGCACAGGAAGTGAAGGGAGCCGTCCTGGTTAAAGAAAATTAAAAACATATTTTCACACAATGTGCATAAAGAAGGAAATACTTCATAATTAATGTGATCCAGTCTCATTTTTGGCAGCATCTGTTGGTAACTGGTAATAAAGAACTAGAAATTTTCTCTTGTAAGTGGCTCTAATGTTCTGTATGATGTAAAAAAAAAAATTTGAAACAACTTCCAGTTTAATTACCATGTTTTTTTAACTATACTTTATTTAAACAGGCAAATCCCATTGAGATCACAGATGTCTTTTGCAAGGGAGGCCTGGCCTGAAGGCAACCTAACATTATAAGGCACAATATCAAAGAACAGATCTGTTTTCATACATAAGGTGCACAGGATTATAAGGCGCATTAAGTGAAACAAAAGAGTCAGATAAGTCCCACTTTATTCAACTCATTCACAATAACCACATAAAATCGGTTTGAGGTCAGTAAGCGCAACCATATTAATACATAAGGCTCAACGGATTATAAGGCTCACTGTCGATTTTTGAGAAAAAGGATTTTAATTGCGCCTTATAGTCTGAAAAATACAGTAGTTGCTGCTTATACAGAGCATAATTTCTCATTATCGTTTAAGTGGTCTTCATCGATAGTGTCATAGTCTGTCCTTTTTGTCTGTTTTCATTGTGTTTATCTCGTCTTTATTTCTTTTCCTGCTCCTTGTATTTGACTCCGTTCCTAGTGTGTATGTCTCCCTCTTGTGGTCTGTCCCAGCTATTGCTCCCTCATGTAATTAGCTTCTGCCACCACCTGTTGTCTCTCCCAGCTGTTTGTCATTTGTCTGTCGTCAGTGTGTGTATAAACAGTAAGTCTGCGTCTCCTTTTCTTTGTTATCTGGACATTGTCTCATGAAGGCACCACGTCCTGGTTTTGTCTCCCTTAGTTTCTTCTCGTGGTTCATGTAAGTTGTTGCTGCCATGTCAGCGCTTTTGTTTATTGTTATTAAACAACTTTTACTTTTAAACCCGAGTCCTCCGAGTCCTCCCTGCATTTTGGGTTCAACCACCACCAGATCATTACAGATAGTTGTTAAGGCTTACTGAAAGTCGTTTAAAGTTGTTGTTTTTTTATTATTTTGAACTTTGCATTTTCACTCATTTCACTCAGTCCCAGCTGATCATGACAGCGTATTAGAAGTGGAGGACAAGCTCAAAAGTGTCAAGGCTGCACAAGGAAGCATCTACAGAGATGATGCAGTTCTACAAAATTAGGTTGCCGTTAGTATTTTATAAACTCAACTAAATAAATGGACAAAAAGTGTTTTAAAATATGTATATACAAACTTTCAAATTTAAAAGTGGTTCTTTGTTTTGAACAGAACCCAGTTCATACTTTGATTAGGTGCCTATACATATATATATATATATATATATATATATGTATATGTATTTTGTTGTTGAAAAGACCGGATTGGTTGTAGTTTATAAAACTGAGCTGTGAAAGAGTTAAAAAGGAATCAGGATTTATCTTTCCAAGTGCTTCTCTTGCTTCACACACAGCCAGAGTGATTCTTACCCATGAGAGATCTGAGTGCACATCTGGCCTCTTTCACTCTCCCCCGTCGTGAAGCGGCAGCCTCTTCGGTCTCTTCCTTCTCCTTCTTAGTCATTTTAGACACCATTTCACTGACAGTCACACAGCCAGCTTCTCCAACCATGTCATCGATCTTCACGAGGAGTTGTGCAACCTGAGCATCATCACCCTTGCCCCAAGCACTCGTGTCTAAGAGCTGGTATCTGTACGCACACCTCTCCAACAAGGCTTTAAGAAAGTCGTGTTTTGCAACATAATTTTCCACAGATGTTCCTCTCAGCCGCTCACATCTGGTGAATATTACTACAGTGCTGCTCCACACACTGTCATTTAACAGCTCAAGAGGTCCCTCTGCTGTCCACTCCCAGCCTCGGTGTGAGCCGATGGGCACGATCATGAGGAAGGCTTGTGGTCCCGGGGGGCACATGGCCCTGCAGGCAGCCATGTTCACATTTACCAGGCCAGGGTCACACACGGAGTAGTGGATCCACCTTTCTGGAGTGCTGACTATGACCACTTTCTGTCCGTCCTCGAGAGCAGCTTGCCTCCTGACGCACATCTTCACGTCTCTGCTGAGGTCAAACATCTGGCAGCCGAGGATGGTGTTTCCCACCAAGCTCTTCTCCAGCCAGTCGTGCCCCAAGAGGACAATCCTCACCTCCTGAAGACGACGTGCGTCCCCTGAGATTATCCAACAACATGTCAGTGAGTTTAACAAGAAAAAAAAAAATCTTATTGAAATAAACAGTTCCTCTACCAGAACAAAATAATAAAATCATTAAATGTGGATTATTGAACAGCAGATCTCTTTCCTCTAAGTCTCGGTTAGTTAATGATCTGATAACTGATCATCATATTGATTTATTCTGTCTGACAGAAACCTGTCTACAACAGGAGGATTTTAGTATAAATGAATCCACTCCTGTTAAGTATTTAAATTTTCATGTTCCCAGAACAACCAGTCGAGGTGGAGGAGTAGCTTCTGTTTATCAGTCAGGATTATTGATTAATGCTAAACCAATTATGAGTTATGATTCTTTTGAGTTGCTGTCCCTCGGTCTTTCTCATCCAAAATGGAAATCAGAAAAGCCACTTTAACTTTTTGTTATACATCGTCCACCGGGCACTTATTCTCAGTTTTTGTCTGAATTCTCAGATTTGTTTAAATCTGGCTTATTATTGAATATAGGGCAGTTCTTCCTTTCCACTGTTGCCTTTGTGCTTGTTCAGGATGAGAAACTGTGACAAAGTGAAGATTCAATGAGTCGGCTGGCTTCCTTTCTTAGTTAGAGAACTTTTATTACCCGGTAATTAGCTTTTATATGAATAAGTTTATGAATGTTTCTGTTCAGTGCCCTAAGATGACTTCTGTTGTGATTTGGTGTTATATGAATGAACTGAATTTAACTGAATCATTTATTTATTTTTATTTACCCTTTATTTATACAGGTAGTCTCGTTGAGTCACGAGAACTCATTTTCAAGAGAGACCTGTTTCAGGGAGCAGATGGTGGGGGTTAAGGGCCTTGCTCAAGGGCCCAGAGTGGGGCGAATGAGGGTGGAGGGAGGTGTGGGTGTTTCACCTTTTCACCCACATTTTGATGTTGTCAGTCCGGGGAGTAGAACCTGTGACTTTCTGATCACAGGTCCATCCACTCTAACCTCTGCACCACCACTCTCCAACTGAATCATCACAGTGTTGCAAGTAATTCGTAAAACAACAACAAACTTATCCTGATGCATGCTCAATAATACAGGTCCAAAAATCTAACAAAGTTAAATCAGATCCTCTGGATGAATGCTGATGAAGTCTTTTGAATAAAAGATGAAATGTTTCAATTTTTATTTTTTTTGTTTACTTTTTGCATCCGTCCAGAAGACCTGACTTAACTTTTAGACAACAAACTTAAATTTTCTTGAAGGGATGCATATTTCTTGTTGTTGTTGCTGCCCAAGTTTAAAACCAAGATGATTTTGTCTTGAAAACTCTGAAATATTGCACAGTCTGTTAGAATTTGATGCTTTTGAGATGACTTCATGCTACTACCATTCCAATTTTTATTTGAGCATCTGTAAAACTGAACGTGTTATAGTCAGTTCGTTAAGGCTGCTTAGCTGTGCAGGACATCTCAAATGGGATTGACTCCGAAATCAGTCATAGAAGAACATCAAGTTCTTACTTTTTGAGAGTTTTGCATATTTGTTCAGGATATATTTTGCTAACAGACAGGTTTAAAACCAAGAGTTTTGCTGAAGTTGAACAAAGACCCTGAACAATCATTTAGCGCTCAGAGTATAAGTTGCTGATGAGTCTTAGCTGTTATCAGCTGAATATCTCTAAATGTGACAGAGTTTTAGCCACTTTTCTGTTTGCTGATCTTCCCCTACTCCTAAGCTTTGTGTTCAGAAAAATAGAGCTCATTTATTTCCATAATTTGGATGGAATTGTTCATTTCAGCAGCTGGTACTTGGCTATGAATGAAAAGTGGTGGCTGGAGGTCCACGGTGTGGACAGGTGAGCAGGTCGGAGACAGAGGGCAAGAAAATAAGTTCATTTTTATGCAACGTGAACAACAAATGCTGCTAAATCTTTGTTACGGTTGTCATTTCATCTGCAGATGATTTGAATTTCATTTAAATCAACACATTTTAAAGATGTAATTTTGTGATTTCTCTATTTTTCTTCCTTTTTTGTGACATGACAGGCTCAACTGGATCCTGACTGGATCTAAAACAACAAACTTTCAGAAAACTGAATGAGTAAAAAACACAACACAGCAGATATTGGTCTAAAACAAGCTCAGTTTTCTTTACCAACTAAAACTTTTCACTGTCATTTGTAGTTTGGTAGCATAAAGAGGCTAAATGTTACTCAAAAGAATGAAAACAGAAGGAGCCTTACCTTTCTCTGCGCAGGCCATTAAAACCACATTTTGGATCTCCTTGTGTAAAAATGTTGGTTTAAAGTTGATCCATTAGATTTAAAGGCTCAGGTTTCGGTGCAGAGCTCAGCTTTAACGCTTCACTGGACTCTGTATGTGTGTGAGAGCAGGTCAAAGTCCAGAAACATCATGTTTTTAACACACAGGGCGTTAAAACACTGATAACATCAAGAAGTCTTTATAAAGCTCAGTCTAAACTAAACTCAGCACAGTTTCTTAGTTTTGGTAATATTTTGAGTTGTGGAGTTTCATGACAACATTTCTGGGTATTTAATGTTCACACTAATGGAAAACAGGTCATCGCTCTGCTTTATGTTGCCTAAACAGACCTGAACTGCTGCTGCACGGACCGGACCTGATGACAACAGCACCCTTAGAAAACTGTGTTTATGTATACGGGGCTATGATAAAATTAACTGAAAATATTACTGATGAAAATATGTAGCATGAAAAAAACTGTAAGGTGCATGAAAAGGTTACTAAAACAGCTTTAATGACATCATCTTAAGAAAACGAGAATAATTCTCTCTTGATAATGAAGTTTTCTGTGGTAATTAGATCAAATACTGCAAATAACCAAAGCTCTTTTCCTTGTGATCACAGTTTCTAACATCCTAATTACATTAAAAATGGTCATGTTGGAACACCCATCAGTGATTTGCTCATCTCACCTTACAGCTTTCTGCCCTGCGGGGTCAGGAGTCCAGCTGTGGCTTCACTCTCCTATCTGCTGAGAGACTTTTATGTTGAAGGGAGTTTTATTTATTTATTGAAATAAAAATTTCCATCTGCTCAGGTAGAACCACACAAGGAATCCCACCTCTGACACCAAAACGATACAAGGAGAAAAAAAAAAAGAGAAACAGGAAGACGTAGCTCGTTCATTTTTAACATTTTAAAAGAAATATCAAGAAGTAAATCCCACGGATGAGACAACTTCCTTCTGTCTATAAGATTATAGGAACGTCTTTTAAAAAGGCTTATCAGTTTGTTTGTTTTTTTTACGTTATCTTAGGTCAACAAGCTTCATGTTCCCAATATAACAAGATAAAACTACTTGGTTACCTTGAAAAAAATCACATCAAAATGAACAATAGCAATAGCCTGGTAGTTAATACACTAACTAAAGAACAGGGCATGTATTTTCAAGTGAGATTTGATGCTAAATTGACTTTTGGTCATAAATCCCATCGGATTAAGCAATTTAGCACACGTAAAAATTTTGAAATGTTAACTCTAATAAATTGTTTTAATCTATCTGAGCGCATTTCTTTCAGAAACAACACGCTATTCTAACGTTGACCGAGCCCACTGAGCTAGAAAAAATAAAATCTCTAACATCACGTGCAGCAATCCTTTGAGAGATTAGTCCAGTAAAAGCCATTTAAAATAATTATTTTGACATTACCCAAAAAAATCCACAGGAAAACACATTAAAATATTAAAACAATTAAATGTAACAAAGGCAAAACTCTAACAGGGTTAAGTCAGGTCATCTGGAAGAATGATGACCTAATTTAACCTTTACATTTTTCTACCTGGATTATTGAGCATGCGTCAGGAGAGGGAAGACTAACAATCCCAGAAAGCCTTTTAGATTTATTAGGATTCAGTCCGTTAAAGAACAAGAGTCAGGTTTTACTCCAGTCATTGTGTAGAAATGCTCATCATGCAAAACGTCTGAAAAAATAAAAAAATAACGCTCCATGAGCAGAATCCGATTCTGTTCGTAGTTTCAAAAAGAAGAGACCTTGAAGGAGTTACAGCTCCATGTTTGGTGAGATAATGAACAACAACAAAAACATCTAGATTGTTTCTACAAGCATTCTGATTTACATTTATTAATCAGTTTGTACATTCATCCTCTGATATTGGATATTTACAAATTATTGTGGAAAAGGTATAAAAACTGCTAAACGTGTCCTTCAAAAAAGCAGCTGACATCTAAATCTACAAGCGAGTGTTGGTTTACGTTTTGAATGTATACTTCCAACATGAAGTCATGCTGGCGTGGCTTTATTTGAACCTCAGCTGAAATTTGTGGATGATTTGTGACAAATGGTGACGTCGGTGTGAGACAAACATCTGGCCGAGCTGCAGTCCTTAAAGCAGAAAAACTCACACAAACCCAAATAAGGCCAAAGAGCGGGAGCTGCTTTGTGATTAAATCCTTTAATATTCTCAAGTGTTTGAAACTGAAGAAAGACGTAAAAATAGCCGTAGAAAAACAAAAGCTGATGCAATCCGTGGCACTAACGGGATTATCTGAGGTTTTAAACCTTGAATTACGGCTTCACTTCAGTGGGATCCAAAAAAATAAATAAAAAAAAAGTCAAAATTTGAATTGTAATAATGAAAACGTCCAGTGTAAAACAACTTTTAATTTGAAGTTTTCAGCAGCCTGCACAGCTGTGGAACATCAGTTTTTACACAACGACAGGACGAACTTGGTTATTTCCACTCCGGTTTAGATTTTACAGACAGCAGCAGGAAAAGTTCCTAGTTTTTTTATTTTTAAACACAGAAACCATAAACTAATTTTGTGCAAAAATAAACTAAACAATTCTTCATACACTTTCCCAACCCGCCTTTCCTTTTCCATTTTTCAACCTCTCTCCACAGAATCTTCTACATTTACACAATTAGCACTAATTAAGGCTTGCAGGAAATCTGTCTGATACGTGGCGGCTATGAGAAAAGAAATTACACAACATGTTACTGTAGAAGAGAAATGACCCCAGGATGTGATGTGGCGCTGACAACATCCCTGCCACGTTTTGAACCACTACTTCCTGGATTCTGGATCAGTAAACGCTTAAAAAGAGCAAGAAACTGAGACGGTCACACCACTAACAGTTGGGCGTGTGTGTGTAGAAAACCACAAAAACACTTTTAACAAAAAAAATAAAAATAAAATGCCTCAACCAATCAACTTCAAATGTTTTTTTTTTTTAATTAAACAAAATAATTTCCTATAATTCACGTTTAAATATTAAATTTTTGAATACAGAAGACAAAACCATTCAAAAAGCAGTTTCACGGATTTAAATTGTTTTTTTTTAATTAAACAAAATGAAGATGTTCTAAGAAACCCACTTTGATCAGTCCAAACTGTTAAGATGAACACAATCAACATTTTCCTATAGACCTACTTTAGATATTTAAAGCTGCCTCTAATCCAATTACAGTTTTACTTTTCGATATTTAACAAAACAAACAAAAAAAAGTTTTCATTTGAATTACATTAAATCCAAACATTGCTAGAAACCAAGTGAAATATTTAAAGTGGTTATCAGAACCAAAACAGAATGAGCAGGTTTGATTTATCAAGATCAAAAGGTTCCTATGGATGAAAAAGTTTCCCTTAAATCCCATTTAAAGATTTAAACTGGAGTTTATTAAACAGAACTTACTAAGAATCCACCTGAATATTGTCAAGTGGTTCCAACAAAAAGCGAATCTTATAAAACTGTGGAGATTTTTTTTTTTTTCCACTCTTCCCCATGTTGAATGTTTTACTCCAACCATGCAATGTTTTATAGGAGGAAGAGGGTGAACAACAGAAATAACCTTTTTTCCTTCTTTTTTTAAAAGGGGAGGTAAATAAGCAATCCCTTGCCTGAGCAGGCTTGATTTAAGGCGAAGGTTAAAAATCTTCCTACAGTCTACGTTAACAGCTGTGAGGTTGCATGAAGACAGGTGGTGACGGGATTTCCTGGAACGGCTGCAGCCGTGAGGGCAGCAGGACGGTCATGTGTCAGGGTTGGGTTGGAACGCTTCAGGAACTGGACTCCTGCTCAGGATTACATTTAAGATGTCTGGTTAGAAGTTCAACACACTCCCAAACGTGTGAAGCGGTTTAGCAAAATGGAGCGTCGTGTTTTAGTGCCGTGGGTACAAAGAGCTGGAACAGGTGGCGTTTCCTCGATAAGGACTGTTTTCACATTCAGAGCCCTTGCTGTGGTTCAAGACTCCAGCCTGTCAGGACAGAGATGTTGGGAGGTCAGAACACCAAAATCAAGACTGAAACCAAAGTATTTCTCTACCTAACTTCTTCCCTTTACCAGAGACACAGATGAGTTTGTTGGTTCCCTTCCAGCTCACTGAAACGCTTAATTTATGGAGAAAAAGTGATTCCGTTAAAAGCAAATGTTTAATGTATATCTGTATGTCTTTAGTATGTTATGCTCAGTAATCCAGGTAGATAAATCTAACAAGACTGAGTCAGATCCTCTGGATGGATTCTTCTTGTTGAAATGTTTCATCTTTTTATCCAAGACTTCTTCAGTCCGAGATGCTGCAACAAACTCACGTCTAATAAGCAGCACCTTCTCATAGTGGATCAGCCAGCTTGTTGGCAACATCCAGAACTAGTTCAGTTCAGTTTATTTTATTTATAAAGCACCAAGTCACAACAGAAGTCGTCTCAGGGCACTGTTCACTGTAAAAGGACCATCAGCCTAACAATTGATCATTAGTGCTCTGATGGCTGCTTGCTATTCACAGGGAGCTGAGTGATACTAGCAGACCGATGGAGGGTTCTCTTCACAAAGATGGCCTCCTTTACGCCCCCTCCCCCTCAAACCATTGTTCCACTCTATCCAGGATGTGCACATCTTCATCCCTGAACAAGTGACCTCTGGCCTGGAGATGAGTGTAGACCGCAGAGTCCTGGCCTGATGATGTTGATCTTCTGTGCTGGGCCATCCTTTTGGCCAGTGGCTGTTTTGTTTCCCCGATGTAAGACTGATCACCCTCCTGACACTGAACAGCATACACAATATTACTCTGTTTGTGCCGGGGGACTGGATCTTTGGGATGAACCAGTCTTTGCCGTAATGTATTTTGGGGTTTAAAAGCCACTGGGACGTTATGTTTAGAAAATAAATGTCTCAGTTTCTCTGATACTCCCTCAACATATGGAATGACCACTGGTCTGGGTTCCTCCTTTTCACCTGTTGGCTGACTGGAGTCCTGTTTGGGTTTCTTCTCTGCTTTCAGGAAGACCTAGTTAGGATATCCACATTGCTCTAGAGCCTGTCTTGTGTGGGATTTCTCCTTCTGCCTGGCTCCTGAGCTAGTGAGGACGCTGTCTGCTCTGTGGTACAGAGTCCTGATGACTCCTAACTTGTGCTCCAAAGGGTGATGGGAGTCAAACTGCAAATACTGGTCTGTGTGGGTGGGTTTGTGGAACACCTCAGTTTGCAAATGTCCTCTATCAGAGACTGAGACCTCACAGTCCAAAAAAGCCAACATGCTTTATTTTACATCTTCTCTTGTATGAACTTTATATATTTATCCACAGAGTTGATGTGGTCAGTAAAATGTTGGACTTCCTGAGATTTAATTTTAATCCAGGTGTCATCAACATACCTGAACCAATGACGGTGGTGTCCCTGAAAAGGACGTCAAGGCTCTCTTTTCTACCTCCTCCATGTACAGGTTGGCAACAATAGCGAAACTGGAGACCCCATAGCACACCCATGTTTCTGCCTATAATATTGCTCCCCATATGTGAAGTAGGTTGACTGCAGGCACAGTTTCAAGAGTTGACACAGTTGTTCTGTGGAAAGCGTGGTCCTGCTGCTCAGAGTGGTGTCTGATTTTAATCTTAAACTGACCACCTCTACTGCATCATCAACAGGAAGTAGAGACCATTGTTTCATCAGTCTCCATGATGACATCCCTCACCTTATCCACAAAGTCCATGGTGTTCTGCATGTGATGTTCTGAGCTGCCAACTAAAGGGATGAGTACAGACGTTAGATATTTGGAAACATTGTAAGTGACCGAGTTAATCATGCTAACGATTGGTCTTAAAGGTACACCTTGTTTGTGAATTTTGGGTACACCATACAGACTAGGTGTGCCCCCCACCCAGGTACAGTCTGTGGTACAGAATACAGTGAGTAGCCTTGTCCTGCTCCAAATGTTACATAAAGAAGAATCTGTCCAGAGGACCTGACTTAACCTTATCAGATGTGTTAGAGTGCACACATTTATTTATTTAATTAATAAAACGTACACAGTATAGTCATTGGACTGTAGCCAACCTCCCAGGACATGGGCGCAAGAGGAAATGCCACCCCATGTTAATTACACGGATTGTGTGGATGGTAGAAAAAGAGTGTTTTGGCTCCAGTCCCACCAGTTGTATTTTTTTATTATTGTGGAAGGCAACCAAGAAATTGATCTGCATTTGTATATTTGTTCAAACTTCAGCTGATACGATGAGAGTGATTCAGTTCATCATATTTGTGTTCTACTTTGAACATTCCTGAAATAGACTTCAGTACCACTGAGAATCGTTGACTCAATGCTAATCCTTCGGCAGAAAAAAAGAAGTCAATTTTGCTTGATTTAGGTGAAGTGACCCGATTAGAGAAATGCAGTCTGGGGCTCAAGGCACCAATTTTTAATACAAGTTGGTGAGAAAAACTAAAACCATCCGACATGCTGAAAATTTGGAAACTCTGGCCTCGAGCTGCAGTTATCAAAAATAATTAAATATGAACTAGAAGGTTTGCTGTAAGCTCAAAGAATCAACAAGACACCTCTTCCCATTAGTCGATGGATGACAGGAAGTGGGACGTGCAGCTTAAAATATGAACCGAATGTTGATCCGTGTGACCTCAGGCGTGTTGGGAGCTTAATCTTGTGTGCTACTGGAATTGAACAGAACTTGAATGGGAGCTGGATGAATTACGAAAGATTCACAGATTGCAGCACTGCGTCTCCCCCTTCATATTCTGTAAAACACCAGAAGACGACGACTCGTTTTCCTCTCATTACTTTTAGGATTTTTGACTCCGGTGTCGATTATGTTTTCACAGGTGGGTCTCCTCCCTGGCCTACCAACGGAGCTGACGGTAGGAGGAGAATGGAGTGGAGTGGTAAAGGGGGGATCAGACACCGCGGGGTGGCTGTACAGAAACAGCCGAACACAGGAGGGGGGGGAGGGGTCATACAGTTTAGTTTTGTTTCTTGGCCTCTTGGTTTCCGTAACTGGAGCCCGTTTTCTTCACCTCTGTGACCCCGATGAGACGGCGGATAGCAACGGAGGCTGGGGAGAAAGAAAATAAGACGATGAATGAAGACATCAATACAAATACTGAGCTTCATTAACTTTTATTCTGAAAAGTGAGTTTACGCTACCAATGATGAGAAAGAGGATAAAACCGATGATGAGGAGAGGGGAGCCGCTGACGACCACGCCACAAGCAAAGTTGATGAGGGGTGATAACAGAAGGGCGGCCCAAAACAGGAAGTTGAGCAGCGTCCATGGACGGCGACGCGGGATAATGGTGGGCCCGGGGAACTTGCCCTCCTTGTTGTACTGTTCCTGTAAGGCATCCTGCGAGACACAGAAGTAAAAATAATCTGATTTATCCTCCTCATGTTTAGGTTTGGTCACGTTTCAGTATGCATTACTGAATGCATACTGAAATGAGCTACAAAAAGAAGGGATGATTGTGCACAAACACAAAAAAGAACAAACTAAAAAAACTAAATGATCCATTTGGTGATAAAAATCCATTACCTTCTCCTGATAGAGCTTGTGCAGCCAGCTGGCACACTCCTGCTCATCTTCTGGTATATCCTCCACAGAAAACCGCCTGGGTGAGATGAGAGTTTAAAATTATGAGACTGCACACAGAACTGGGCTTCAACATCCAAACAACGCCGCGGACACACGAGCGAGTGCCGAGCTATGGTTAGACATGCGAGAAGCAAAGAAATCACAAGAATAAAAAAAAAGTCATTTCTAGTTGTAATTATGGTTATAAAAATTAAACTTTAATAAGTGTGACACAGAAATCGTGCTTCCTTCTTTCAAGAGTTAAATTTACTGTAACAATAAACAAAGAAACATAGAAATACAGCTTTAAATTTCTATTATTAGAGTGTATATAATGCTATAATAACAGCTGCTCAATTTAAAGTTTTCTTTCAAAGCTGATTAACAACTTCACAGACAATAAGAAATAAAATGATCATCATGACAAGATGCACAAATACTGTGAAAGTGGCCTGTAATGACGACTTCTAACCAATAGAGGGCCTAGGTGACCAGCTGATTGTTTTAAATACCTAAATGTAATTGGCTGCTCACTTTCTATCGAACCTTTAAATAAAATTAAATATAAATTTTTTTTATTAAAAAATCAACATTTATAAGAGTCAGCTCTAACAAGGTGCTTTGCTAGCAGTTTCAAAATAGTCGTCTCCAGTCGTTTGTTTTCTAACCAGCTTGCTGTAGATTAAATATTACAGCTATTATTCTGAACCCATTAAAATACTGGACTTCAGCCAGCTGCCTTCTCTCAGACTGATAAAGGTCTAAATTAAATCAGACAGTTAAAAGATATTGTCATCATTTGCTGTCTTATAGCAAAGATTCAAGATTCCTTCATGTTACCAGTTTTTAAAATGCAGATTTTATCATCAAATGTTGGGTCTTTTTTGTATGTACAGATATTTATGTATACGTATGGTAGACTGTACACAGAAAGCCTGTTTATGAAGGACCTTATGGTCTTAATTACACAGTTTAAGTGGTTTTCAGTACAACCCAAGGTTCATTTGGTCAAACTTTGTTCCGATTCAGAGTAAAATAAAATGAATGCAGTGTATTCTTTAGATAGCTTGTAGCTCACCAGGTGCACAAAGAATTCAACATATGGAAAATTATTTACATTTAAACAGCACATATTTTAGCTTCGTCAGTCTCACATGGTATCTACAATAAGACTACTAGGACTCAGTTTATATTTTTCGTCCAAAGTTACAGATTTTGGAAGCAAAATATAGCAAAAATAGAGCTGAAAATACTTTTGCGCACAATATATTGTATATATAATAAATAGGAAGCTATACATTTCAAAATATATCTAATTTGTATTCTTAGAAAATAAATAATGTGTGGAAACAATGTTTTCATTCATTTTGACTATGAAAACACAAAGTAAACTCCAGACTTTATTTAGGAACATTGATAAATCAAAAGTGAGAACATAAGTTTGACTCACTGAATGCGCATGTCGGCTTTGTACTTCTTGCCATTGACGATGCTCAGAAGAGTGGGCGTTTGCTTGTCTTTGAAGTTCAGAGTCACATCATACACAGCAGTAACTGTAAAATACAGCACAATCTGTTGAGAACAAATTGAAACAAGCGTTCAGTACAAAGAACGTTGCGTTTGTGTGCTTCTGTTCTGCACCTGTGCCCTTCAGACACTGCAGCGTGGTGGTGAAGCCTTTGGTTCGCGGCAGAAGGTGATACTTGAGCACGGGCAGGCCTTTACTCTCTGCAACCTGCATGCTGATTTGGTGCTTTTTCTCTGTGAATCGGGTTCCCTCGCAGTACAGCAGAAACTGTGCAAAGACAAAAGCTGGGTTTACACACACATCAGGAATTGAAAGCACAGGCTTAGGATGACCGCTCTTCTCTTGTCACAAACACTTTGCTTAAAATTACACTCGATGAACCGCTGTGCTAAAATTTGGGCGCATTTTTAAAACTGGAAGAGTTGGTTTGTCTTTTTGCTTCCATGATACAAAAATCAAGATAGAAGACAAATGAATGCATCCTCAAGCTAACAAACGGTAGCAGGTCTAGTTCAGATAATAGTTGAGAACAAATAAAAATAGTAAATATAAAAGAAGTCACAACTTTGGGTGGTATTTGTGGATCTAAGGAGGATGAGCAGTCCGACGGTGCTTACCCACATATATTCAGGATAGTCTTTGAGCCTTTCCAGCCCAGCGAACACCGTATTTCGGTCCTCCTCCCACTTTCGTTTGCAGAAAACAATTTCCAGAAAGTACCAGGTCCAGCCGATCAGAGGAACCTTCAGCAGCTCATGCTTGGCCAGCACTTTTGAACTCTAGAAGACGACGTGTACATCAGAACAGAAAATGTATAAAAACAAACATTACAAGGACTCCAGGCACAGTTCGGTGCTTTAACTGACCCCTAAGACGCCGTATCTTTCACACATGGTCCAGCCACACAGGAAGTCGATTTCAAAGTTGTGGTTGAGGATGATGATGGCGTGCTCCTTGCCGAACTTGTCCACCGTAGCCTGGTCAGTGTACAGAGTGCATTCTGTTCCTGACCACCACTCCAGCATCATCACCAGCTCTGCACAGAAACAAAAACCCAACCCGAGGATGAGGAAAAGAGCGACAACTCTTCTATCAATATTTTTAACATCGGAAGGAAAATGTTGCCTTTATATTCTAGTAACTTAAAAAAAAAACTATTTGGAGTCCATACTAGATTATTTTATTTTCTCTTGATTAAAAAATGATTTTGACATAGAAAACAAATAGCAAGCATCAATAGTACATAGTCTTGACGGTTAAATGATAAAAGTACCTCAGGGCTCTATTCTTGATCTTCTTTATTTTTTTACTTTTTATTGACTCACCCAGTGTAATATTTACTGAATATAAAATACTGCCAATGACAACAAATTGTACCACCAAATTTTGTCTTCGGTTGATTATCAAGGAATTAAAGATGACACTGATAATTTATTATCATGGTCAATGAGCAGCTAGTAGGTTTTTAAAAAGCCAAATGTAAAACGTGCATTCAGGAAAAATAAACCCTTAATATAATTATTATTTCAATAGAATTGTACTAGAGTGAATGAGCAAAGAGAAATATTTGTGTATATTAGTTACTGACAATCAGTGACCAAGCATATTGTTAAGGCAAAATTTGGTTCAGGATTGATCAAACAATATTTTACTTTTACTGGACAAAAAGTATTATTCAAATACATGTGCAAGTTATGTAGGATTTCATCTTGAATATTGTGTTCTGGTCTGATCACCTTATTTAGAGGGAGAGAGAGAAACAATTGTCAAAACAAGCAAAAAAGCTAGTATCCAAATTACATCATACGAAATTTTCATTCATTCAAACTTTATTTAAACGGGTTAATCCCACTGAGCCTCGGGGACTCATTTACAAGTAATATGAGGGTTAACTTTAAAAAGTAGAAACGTTTCTGGTGATTTGATCAACGGGTACAAATTAATGCATGATTTACAGTAAGTTATTCATAATATCGTATTAAAAAATGAAGGTATATTGTATTTAAAAAATATGAACTGTCTGTGGAGGTAAAGAGATGTAGAATAAATGTTAGCTTGGTTTAGTAACTGTTGCTCATTTATTGAACACTCTTGGTGAATATATCATTCAACCACTTCTAAAACTAATAAGATGTTTATTTAATTAATTTAATTAGAATATTATTTAATATTTTATACCTTTTTGTACTGCTTTTGTTTGTATTTTGCATATAACTTTTTTCCTCATCAAAAAATACTTGGAACTGTACATGTGAATTTATTTACTGCATTATTTTTAACAACATTTACAAAGCATGCAGTGTCACTGTCTCACTCGGTCAAGTGCTGATGGAATCCTGCAGCCTTCTCTGTAGAGTTTCATGGAGTCAAAGCACAATAATAAGAGCAACATCTACTCACGACTCCAGAGAGAGTAGGAGAGCCGGCAGTTGATTCTGCGGTAGAGCTGCCTGTTGATTGGCCAGATGATGCAGGTGCACAGCTGAATGAAGTTAATGATGAGGCCGCTCACCACAAACACAAAGCCCATGAGCAGCTGCAGGATGAACAGGCTCTTCAGGTAGGCCAGGAGATCCATGGCTGAGGAGCCTGAAGGGCTGAGTGGGCTCCTCTCTTTCTATACACGATGACCAAGCTGGCAGGAAGCAGAAACAGACACGACAACACAAATCAGAGAAGGGGAAATATGGGCCATGAAACGGTGCTAGCGTAGCATTTAGGTTCAGGGATACGATTCATTTAAAAAAGACAAAACGTGGTTCTTACCACGGTGGAACTCCTTTACAGGCCGCGTTTACACGGTCCGTCTGCCAATATCACGGTCCTGTGAAGGGCAGCAGAGGAGAAATCGAGTTAAACAGCAACCAGAGGACACATTACATGTGACAGCATAGTGCCAATATGCTGAAATATTTGGTATTTTTTATCCAAAACTTTTAGTCACTTTGGCTGATAATAGGTAAAAGCTGGACTGATTAATTAGCGCTGTGGTTCCCAACCCTGGTCCTTGAGGAACACCGTCCTGTTTTACTTGTTTCCCTGCTTTGATGCACCTGATTTGAATGAATGGGTGATTAATCAGCTTCTGCATAACTTAAGGAAGTATTAAATCATTGAATCAGGTGTGTTGGAGCAGAGAAACTGAAACGTGCAGGATGGTGTTCCTCAGGGACCAGGGTTGGGAACCGCTGGAGAGTAATTTTTTTAACCAAAAGGAGAAGGATGTGAACTATTTTGGCTTATTGGAGGAAACATTTTTACATAATATTGAACATGTAAATAGTAAACAGCTGGCACATAACGAGATATTTTAGGATCCCAGTAGAAGTTCTTTGGGCTTCAAAGAGTTCAACTTTCAACCATCAGAGGAACTAAATACATGTACATCCAAGTATGGCTGTGAGCTCTGCAACGAACTGAGGAGCAGTTCTGGCTGAATAAGAAATATGGGTCTGATTTATGCAAACAATAAGAGTCATTTAAAATGAGAAGAGAGGCTGTTGAAATGTAAAAGTTTAAAATATACCAATAACCAAAGCCCCAAAAGTGTTGACCAATAAAGAAATGATAAAACAATTATGATTTTTGTGCACACAACTGATAAATCACCACGTCACTAGATTACCGTTCAAAAAAAAAAAACATTTGAGGTCAAATGCCCAAACTCTATTAGGGTGACTACAGACCAAGTAGTCCTGAATGAACTGTTCCCACATCTGCACCAAAGCCCATTAAAGTGTAGGCTAAGCTCGTTTCAACGTCCGTCCGATGAACATTTTTAATCTGTGAGCTGAGGAAACCTTTGGATCTCCAGGACTGTTGACTGGGTGTCAAAATACTTCAAATTCAACAAAAAAAATCTAAATATAAGTACACGCATGCATTTCTTTTTTTTTCTTTTTTTTTTTTAACATGTAAATGGATTAAAAGTGAATCCTTTCTAAAATGTAATGCTTGGTTTGGGAATTCCCTTTTGAATTAATCATAATTACGGTAATTCAAAGAGCTTAAGTTGTGTTCGGTCCAAGATTTACTGAACTTTATAGTTTCTTTTCTTTCGGCTGCTCCTTCTTCAGGGGTCACCACAGTGAACTAAGTCGCACAAAGACTTGGCAACTGGTTTTACGCTGGATGCCCTTCCTGACGCAACCACAGACACCGAGCTACCACAGCCCTCTGTGTGGAGCAGAGAGCTGCTATCTAGAGCGTCCGGTAGAGCAGATGATGGGGGTTAAGTGTCTTGCTCAAGGGCCCAGAGTGGGGCAAATGAGGGTAGAGGCAGGTGTGGATGCTTCACCTTTCCCACCGACATTTTGAGGTTGTTGGCACCGGGAGTTGAACTTCCCGTTTTACCGCATGCGACGCTGCATATTTTCAGCGATACAAACGAAACTTTAAAACCGCTAGGAGGGAAAAGAACGTCCATTTAATGGGCTGAGAACATCCCAAGCTGCTGAATTCTACACATCCATCAACATCTATCAATGCAAATGTACTGATATTCTGTGCCACAACAGACAGAATAAAAGCAGAAAACAATGAAGAACAAGGTTTGTTTGCATTTTAAAGATGCAAACGTTGAGCATCTGTTACGAGTTTTTAGCCAAGTTATCCAGGAACAAATAACAGACAATGGTTACATTCATCCATTACTTTACCCAATTCTTCCTTTCTGGGTCACTGGTGCCCATCAGCAGTCATTGTGCGAGAGGCGGGGGTACACCCTGGACAGGTCCATCACAGGGACACAGACACAAACAACCGTTCACTCACTCACTCACACCTACGGACAATTTACCAATCAGCCTAACGTGCATGTTTTTGGTTTGTGGGAGGAAAACTGGAGTTTGTGGAAAAAAAAAACCCTCGCATGCACAGAAAGAACATGCAAACTCCCCCAAGAAAGGTCTCCAGCCGGGATTTGAACCATCAACCTTCGCTGAGAGGCGACGGCTCTACCAACTGTGCCACCATCGATGGTTACAGAAAAAAATAAAAAGTGCACATTTCACCCAGTCAATAAACACATCCTTAACAAGAGCACAGTTTAAAATATTTAGGCACACATTAAAATAAACCTTGAACTTTCCTCCACTGTCTCGCAGTAAAAGCAGCTTTAAACTGTTACAAGATCAGATTGTTGTAGGGACGCACAACTTCTTGTTTAGTGTAATCGATCTCACACACACACACACACACACACACACATGAATAAAGTAGAGGAATCTGAAGTTCAACTCCTGGAGTAATAAAAATGTGTCAGTGTGGCTTCAAGTCCTGCTGCAGGTGTATCAAGTATCATCCTGAGGACTGGTCAGGCTGAACACGCAGCTCTGTCAGTGTGACCTTTGTTCTGACGTGGGTGAGTAACTGGGAGGGTAAAGTTACATTTCACTTCGTTTCATCTGTGGATAACTAAACAAGGCAGAGACCAGACCATGTGAGATTTGTGCTTCTTGTGTTTGTTTCCAAAATATACCATGAACCTACAGGCAAATTTTACGAAACCTGCAGAAACAGACGAGTGATTACCGTTTCATTAACCTGACGCAAAGCGGCTCTTAAAAACTGCATCAACGGCTTCATAAGGTTTTACAGATATAGACTTAAATGGTGGTAATAGTAGTGGAGACTGATCCACAACAGATTGCGCAAGAGCTTCAAGAAACGCTAGGCCTTTTATTATTCTTAGGTGTAATGAGTAACAAAGTCCCAAATCCAAAGTAGAGCAAACACACGAGCTCCTGGAGGTCAGGCAACATCACAGTCTATTCCTCTAATGAGGAAACCTACCTTTTGTTTGGCTGGTGTGATCTTACTCTTTTAAAAGTCGTTTCCTTTTCAAACTTTCACTCTAAACCCAACAAGCTAAAAATAAACGTGACTCACTTCTCAGTCGTTTTGATTGATCTGGAGTGACAATCAAGCTGTGAAACGGTTATTTTAAGGACTATTTTTCACACCGCAGTGCATAAAATAACCACTATCCAGGTTTAAAAGATGAGAACAGTGTTCAAAATATAATAAATACCAAGTGTTATTTTCAGGGATGAACTTTCTTGTACAGTGTTTTATCATAAGCTGCAAGTGGACAAGTCTCGTGGCCAAAAGTTGCTGTTGTTGCAGGGTGTCAGACGGAGGCATTGCCAAATATATCACGAACTTTGCTCTCGTTTCTCCCCACACACTCTTCTCTGATCCTATCTCTGCTCGTGCCTTCACACAAAACGACTCCAAACTACACAAGTGAAGGGAATAAATCAGGATGTCAACCCCGAAATACTTGAATAATTTGAGGCCAAGTTTGGCCTCTTATTAACTAAACCAAGATTTTGAAGGACTGGTTTGCAATGTTCAAATATGCACCCAAGTGTCTAAGAAAGCTTAAAAAGGTATAAAATGTCAAAAAGTTTACATATTTTACTGCCTAGTATAAACCCGAGTGTAATAATCTGAAATTAGGAGTTAGAAAAATGGAAGTCAGGATGAAAAATAACTAATTTTTAATGCAGTATTTTCCCAAGCACACATTTGAAGCTTCGGTCTTGCAGACGTCTCGTCTTATCAACTAACAACACGAGCAAAAAACGGCTAATGGGTAAATATCTGCAGATCACAGTTGCGCTACTGGTTTGCCTTCAAACAAAACAAAACCTCCATTTTCCTCTTTGCTGACAGAAAACATTTGTACTGAAACAATCCGAAACAGATGCCAAGACAATTTCCTACAAACTGGAGCAACATTTCATCCGTTTGGGTTTGTACATCAGTTTGAAGAGCAGGTGGGTATAAACACTTTTAAAAACAACGCTCATACTAACGAGAATCTAACACTGATCTTGCTTTATTATACAAGCAAATCAACTTTCCATGTGGCGTTGAAAATTACAAGTGTGCTCGTGAAGTAAGAGAAAAACATGCACAGGTGGTTTAGATAAAAATATATCAGAACGAGAAGAAGTTGAGTAGGGGGGTTAGGCCCCACCTGGAGGAAAGATTAGGAATGCTGACAGGGTTAATAAAGCTGCTTAAGGCCGGACAGCTGCTTCTGCTCTGCATCACCTGAAGGCAGCTACACCGCGAAATCACCACCGCTACAGAGTCCGACGGACCTTCAACATGGAAAGGCTGCTGAAATGGGCCTTCAGACACCAGATATGCTGCGACCTTCTTGAAATAGCTTAATTATCGGGACATGTCCATTTGAAATACAAAGAGTTGGGCTTTCACCAATTTAAATTCTAAACCGCATCAGTTCCTAAAAAAATCCCGCAAGACGTGTGCACAGTCGACCCCAGTATTGAAAGTTTACTTACCAGTAGACGTAGTAGGCCATGGCCATTAACACCATTGCCCCACAAATGCCAGTGAAGATCACCACGGCACTCTGGTTCAGCATTTTGGCTCCTGCTTTTCCACAAATGCAAAGCCAAAGAGAAACTATAGAAGCCGGCGGAGCTCTGGATGGTCACAGGGCTTGCTTCACAGCCATGGTAATCCCACAGCAGGAAGAAACTGAGATTATGATGATGACAGCAGAATACAGATCCCAGGAACTGATGGAGGAGCTAATGAGCACACCAGAACTTCGTCCATCAGCGACAAAAAAAAAATAAAAATTACCAAAAATAATTCATTCTGATTTAAGAATATACAACAAACTGATTACAAGCCAACAAGGAACACTAGAAAGACTAGAAAGATGGTTTACTTCTGAAAGGAAGGAGGCACACATGTACAGTAAGCAGGGCCTTGGATTCCCATCCTCTAATCCAGTGGATCAGATTAGTGCTGATTAGCAAGCTATGTGCACCCTGGTTATGTCACATTTCATTAACACGAACAAAGAACAAGCACCGGTTTTCTCCAGCCAGGGTAGAGAAGGCATATGTTTTGGTAAAGGAACCAATCATAACGCAGGTTTTCCAGATTCACTGTGCCTTTTGCCACCTGCTGATAACGCCTATCGTTAAGAAGCGATGAGCTAAGAGGATGATCAACAGGTTTCCAAAACCATCTCTGCGTTTGCCTTTAACTGTGCTGGTAAAAGTGGAAATAAATTATGCAAAAGTGTTAAAAGTCACTGATCTGCCACCTTTGTTGTTATTAACAGCATCATGGGGGATGAAAAATTACCTCTATACATTGTATTAACAAAACCCTTTGGACCTACGGTAGTTCGTGATTAAAAAAAAAAAAAGTTCTCAGCTGAAGAAAATAATCCAACATTTACATCCCTGCCCTGATGACTCTCAGCTACTACCACAACAAATTTTAACTCAATATCTGTCAAATTTAATAAGTTATATCCATTTTTGTGCTGGCGTAAGTTGATTAGCTGTGGGGCTATCTTCAACTGGGTTGGTATCAAATGTTAACTGGTTGTACAAGTACATCAATGGATTACTTTAGAAAGTTTCATTAAATTTAGTCCAGTGGTTTATAAGATATTTCCCCAACATAAACTACCACATACACACACGTGCACACAAACACACACTTGGGGAAAAATTATCGCGGAAAAGTGAAATGCGAGCGATTAAAAAAAAAAAATTATAACAAAGTGTATTTCTTTCTGTTTTGCCTATATTCAATTCCACTTTTAGAAATAAACCCAAGTTTCATTGTTTTAATCAAAAGCAAACTATCAGTCATGAGAAAACTGGAAATAAAAACAACCATAATTTAAGGATCTTTGAAATTAATGTGTCTATTTTTAGAAATATTTTTCCCTTCAAATTCAAAAATTTCAGTTTGAATTTTGCAGAATTTCACAATAAATAACATGTAACAACTACTATATAAAACAATGAAAACAAACGGAAAAAAGACAGAAAAAATTAACTCTGAAAAAAGATGAAACGAGGCAATAATTATATACAACAGAACGCAAAATTGCTTTAAAATAAAAGGGTTTGAAAAGAAACGCTGAAAGCCTGAATGAATCTTACAAGCTACTCAAAAACATTAAAACACCTGAGAATTTTAAAACGTATTATAAAAAAGGACACATATTTAATGATGAAGGCACAGTTGGTTGTTCGAGTATGAATACTTAACGTTACTTTGCACTAAACCATATTTCCACAGGAGTGAGAAATAGGAGAATTAGACCATCTATGTTACTGCAACTGTTTTTAATTACTATTCAAGACGTCCTTTCACAGATAAAAGCTTACATCCGTTCCAAAGTCTTGATTCAGCGCTGCGTTACATTAGCAGATAAGAGTTACTAGGTGTGAACCTTTGACTGCACTTTGAACCAACAGGTTCAACAGGTACAGACTTTCAGGCAGGTGCTTCCATCTTAAAATCTGTGTGCACGTTCACTTAATTAAAAAGTGAATGATTAAAAAAAAAAATCTTTGTTGGCTGTCAAACTATTATGCTCATTAAACAGGATTGAACTTGAAAACTTTTTAAGGGAAATCTATGCAGCAGAAATAGATTCGTTTCAGCTTGTTTTTAGCTTCTGGCTGACAAACTTCTCAGATTTTTTTTTGTTACAACATTCTGATGTTTCCAGTTTGTTCCGCTAATTTTAAATTACAGTTCCAACTAATGAACAGCTACAGTAGTTTTCCAGATATATTGATATGCAGGTGTGCACTCAATGTAAACAAAAGCACTAGACTATAACTACTGAAAACCACAGGAAAGCTTGAATCACGTGACTGGCCTACATTAAGTTGGCTGTAGTAAATGTAGGTAAACAAATATGATCGACTCAAGACAAAAGCAGAATCTTACACACGTTTAGGTGGAAAGATGAGTGAATCTGCTGCATGAAAGAAGATAAAAACCAAGTGAGACAAGAAAAAATATTGGGGATCTGCAGTTTGCTTAACAAATCTGAGCTTTAACACTTGTGTCTTCTCAAAACATCTTCCATGGGCATTACCACCCATCTGTGTTTTTACTACACACATCACCTTAAGCAAAAGAAGTAAATCTCAAAAGCTATGCTTTATTTGATCATACCATCACAGAAGTATCACTTTAGGTCAGACTGAGTAAAATGCATAGACAAAACTAACAAGTGGCTTAACAAGATCTATGAGGAACTATTGGAGTTCCACATTTTATCTTTAATATAAATGTTCCTGGAAAAGTTGTTTATACAAAGACTTGTATAACAATACTGCAACTTGTCAGTGAGTCAGTTAGTCTCCTGTTGCGACATTATATTAACTGTATGCAGATCAATCTTTAACAAATACAACAATTTTCCCACTATTACCCAACTGTGTGCCATTTCTGGTCGTCATATTACCGGTTTGTTTGCAAATCTTCTGCCACATGCACGACTAATGAATGCACCACAACCATAACACAACACCAAAATAAAGGATATATCTTAAACTTGCGAACAAATGTATTCACCACGCACAGTTTGGAAAAATATAAATTTGTCTAGCTCTTGCCATCATTCAAATGTGTAGCTGCCAGCAGCACAAGTTAGAAATTGCTGCAACTCCGCAGAGGATGCTAACACACGTTAGCATGCTAAGTTAGCAAAACCTGACAAGCAAAGGGGATGTTTTAAATTTTAAAGTAAAGGAGTCGGTTTGTCAGACTGTTCGTTTACAAAGAACTGCAAGCTTTCCCTACATAGACTACTTAATGAGTAGATAGGAAACTGGAGCTATGCTTTGGATGCTAACCTGCTGACATTAGCGTTCAGCAACGATGCTCTTACCTGGAGATGATTTACTTCACAGTCACTAGATTCAGTCGGAAATTCCGCCGCCGTCTGCTCTTTCAGACAGCGTAAATTGAATCTGTCATTAAATGTTACGTAAATTCACCCGGTTTATGAAACGCAGCGTAATAATTACTCCAGGTGAGTGGATTTAAACGAGCGCTATTGTTTGTCGGTTAAAGCCCCATATTTGCTCCGAGCCTGTGTGAAGGCGGCCGAGTCGAACATCCGGTCTGACCTCCCTCCCCCTCCCTCACTCGGATTAATACCACGCACGCTCTGCGCCAAACAAACGGACCTCTGCAGCCCCTCTTAGGCCTGATAGTTCCGGTGCACTGGGTCATTTAAATTAAATATTACAAATACATTCTCTTTTCATTCAAATGGGAAACATTAGTCTTTGAGAAAGTCTTTTCTTAAAGGCTCTCTAAGAAAATGGGTGAACCCGTTTTGTGCCAATAAATACCAGACAAATTGAAAAAAATTTTTATATGAACCCTCAGGCGCTTTGTGCATGTGTGTTTTTTAATGTGCGATACATATCAAAGTTGACAGTTTGCGTGCATAAAAATAGTTCTTAAAATGCCAAATAGAAATGTGTTTTGTGCCTTTGTCATGAATCAGTCATGGTCAATAGCTTGTAACTTCTGAGTTATCAGGTATTTTGATGGCCTGTCTCACTAATTTCCTTCTTGCATGGTCACTCAGTTTGTGAGGGCGGTCTGCTCTCAGTAGATTTACACATGTTCTGTATTTCTTCCATTTCTTCATGATGGATTTAACAGAAATGTTGGGGATGTTCAGGGACTTGGAAATGCTTTTGTATCCATTCCCTAACTTGTACTTTTTGATTATCCTAGCACATTAGCACATTACACCAGTTTTGGCCTCACTGCAATGGTTACCAGTTCACTTTCTACAAATCATTGAACAGTTTCACACCCCATCTCTCTTATTTGCTACAGCCGTATGTCCCACCACGTTCCCTGAGGTCAGCGGACCAGTTGCTCCTCACAGTTCCAAGAACTCGTCTTAAGCGCAGAAGTGACAGGGCCTTCTTTGTAGCAGGACCAAGACTTTGGAACGAGTTACCTCTGCTTGTCAGACAGGCCCCCTCCCTCTCGGTTTTCAAGTCCCGTTTAAAAACGTAATAAGAGGAACATAGGGATTATACCTGGATAAAAATAAAACCAGGTCTAAACAAAGTACCAGAAGTGGTACCTGTACCACAGTTCAAGAACCACTGTGAACATTACACAACTGAATTCAGAAATAAATAAATGAATGACTGAATAAATAAATAACAAGGGAACTATCCCTTTAAGGCTGAAGGTGTCTAGAAATAATAGCCTGTCTGATTATCTGGGCTAATGCTGGCTATTCTTGTTGTGGATTAGTGCTGGAGAAACAGAGCTGAGTCGCCTCGCCCCGTTCAAAAAGCATCTAACACGTGCCTGCTTGTTCACCTTTATTAATATCTTATTTTAAAAGTTTTAAGGTTTTATATTTACAACATATCTTCACTATCATTGACACACCTCAGTGAGATTAAATAAATAAGGATTTTAAAGCTGAAGTATACTGGTCATTTGTAAGCAGATGTTTAAACTAACAGGAAAAAGGTAGCTCCCTCTTGTGTTCATATTGTAGAACAGCAGCCTCTTTCACAATAATCTTGAAATATTAAAGCCCTAGAATTTCTTGAAATGCATATTCCTAAACATCTTTCACATCAATTTTAAACTAAGACAATCTTAGGTTAAAAAATGGGAGTTGATACACCTCATGAACCACATGTGATGCAAATGACAATAAAGAACCTTGAACCTTATGTGATATTGCGACAAATCACGCTCAGAGTATGCGTTGTGTAAGTATCTCAGCCAACACATTAAATTTTAGAAGAAACTTCCAGCAGAACTAGGTTCAGGACAAGCGGCCATCTTCTTCGACTGGCTGGGTTTGAGAGGAACAGATACACAATGGCAGGTCGAGAATCACATGTTGAGATAGAAATAATTTCAAACTAAAACTATTCAGTTGTAATAATTCATTTTAATAAATTACCAGGTAGGTCAATTTGTCCTCCAGTAGTCTAAGCCTGTGGCAGCATAACAAACCAACCCTAACTATAGGATTGATTAAAAAGGAAAGTCTTAAGTCCAGTTTTAAATTTGGACAATGTGTCAGCCTTATGGACAGAAACTGGAAGTTGGTTCCACAAGAGAGGAGCCTGATAACTGAAAGATCTTCCTCCCATTCTGCTTCTGGAAACTCTAGGAACCGCAAGTAAGCCTGCAGTCAGAGAGCAAAGTGCTCTGTTAGGAAAATATGGAACATTAAGACCTCTATGAGGGAGCTAGGTTGCCGAGAGCTTTGTAGGTTAGAAGTTCAAAAACGTTCAATACAAAAACAACTGGACTTTATTTGTAACAGAAGACGTTTCGCTCCTCATCCGAGCGAAACGTCTTCTGTTACAAATAAAGTCCAGTTGTTTTTGTATTGAACGCTTTTTGAATTCATCATGTCCTGGATGACTGAGAATCTTCACCAGCATATAGGTTAGAAGTAAAATTTTGAATTCAATTCTGGATTTGACAGGGAGCCAGTGGAGAGAAGCTAAAACTGGAGATATATGATATCTCCTACTAACTCCAGTTAAGATTCTGGCAGCAGCATTTTGGATTAACTGAAGACTTTTTAAAGAAGTATTTGGACACCCAGATAATAAACCATTGCAATAGTCCAGTCTAGACGTGACAAATGCATGAACCAGTTTTTCTGCATAATTTTTAAATGTTTCTAATTTTGGGCAGCACGGTGGCACAGTTGGTAGAGCTGCTGTCTCTCAGCGAGCAGGTTACCCCGGTTCAAAACCTGGTCCAGGGGCCTTTCTGGGTTTGCATGTTCTCTCTGTGCATCTGTTTTTTTTTTTCCCCAGGCACTCCGGTTTAATCCCACAGACCAAAAACATGCACATTAGGCTGATTGGTAACTAAATCGTCCCTAAGTGAGTGAGAGAGTGAAAGGTTGTCTCTATGTGGCCCTGTGATGGACTTGTGATCCATTCAGGGTGTACCCCACCCCTCGCACAGTGATAGCTGAACATGGGCACCAGTGGCCCCCACGACCCAGAGAAAGCCGGTAAAGAAAATGGATGGATGGATGGATGTTTCTAATTTTATCGATATTACGCAGGTGGAAGAAGGCGGTTCTAGTAACGTTTTTAATGTGGGGGATAAAAGACAAGTCCTGATCAAAAATAACTGAGATTTTTAACATTAGTGCTGGAAGCCAGATTAATGTCATCCAAGGAGGGCGAAAGACTGAAAATATATTCCTAAAATGCTCAGGTCCAAAAGCTAAAACCTTATTTGTTTGATATCCTGATGCATGCTCATGCTTATTTGTTTGAGTTTAAAAGCAGAAAATTTAGGGTCATCCAGGTTTTTATGACATGATTGTAGTAAGTAACTGACTGGATTCATTTGGTTTCATGGACCTGTATAACTGTGTATCATCAGCATAACAAATACAATTTATCCCATGCAGTTTAATAACATTACCTAATGGAAGCATATACAAGGTAAAGAGTATTGGTCAAAGAACTGAACCCTGAGGAACTCCATGACTAACTTTGATGTATGAAGATGATTCACTATTTACATTTACAAATTGGAATACAGTAATCAGATAAACATGATGTAAATCAATTTAGAGCTGTTCCTGTAATCCCAATATCATATTCAAGTCTGTAGTAGAATATTTAACATCAGCCATCTTTGCCTGTCGGCAGTAAGCAATAAAGCTGAACGCTAATAACGCATACAAATAGAAGGCACACATTTTCAGTAAAAGATTTATTTTCTCTGTTCATATAGTGCTCTACAACAGAACAACAGGTAAAGGCTTGGCACTTCACTCTTAACACTACGTGTGAGGGTCTGCTTTTAGCGAAAAACAAACATTCAGGACATTTTGCCTCTCTAAACCTGTTAAGGCTAAACAGTGTGGTCTCTTGTACAGATTCTTTTTGTGAGCTGTAACAAAGATGAACACGCATTGCATCATTTAGTAAATATATTAAAGATTATCTGTGCAAATACCTCAATTTGAGATAGAACATGAATCTAACATGTTACACACCTGCTAGTTCAACAGAGCATTGCATAATTTAAAAAAAGTAGTTAAACATTTTTCACGGTGGTTACTATAATTATCATTTAAATAAAATTGTATCTATAAAACAGTAAGTTTAACCAGGTTAGTGAGAATTTGCATAAAATGGTCAACATTGTCTTGGCGTGACAATAGATATCCGAGTACTTCACTAAATTTACTTGAAGCCATAAAACATTGAATAGCATTTTAAGCACACAGCATGCACTTGTATCATTTGATCAAAGTCATTTAGCAGAAATACACCCACTACTTTTCAGGATGGGGCAATGATTTTTCAATATTTGTAGTCTAGGTAAAATAGGCGAATTTGAGGAATTAGCACGATCTTCGCAACTGTTGTAAAAAATAAAAATAAAAAGTGACGCACCCAGTGTCTCTTTCTGCCATTGTAGTTTATTTTAAAAGGATTGTAAAGTGGAACTATGAGCATAGGTAAGTGCAGCTTTACTGCCAGAATACATGCATACTCCTCCACATTTATCTATTGGATTAGTGAAAATAAAGGAATATAAAAACCGCAAGCTAGCAAAAAATCATCAACAGCACATGTCTCTGTACCTGAAGTCCTTTTAATTAGAGCAGTGGTTCCTAAAGTTGAGGTTGGGAACTGACTCTGCCTTATGAAGGTTTGACATCTAATGAATCAAATTATATTTTCAACTCTTGCTAATAGTTTATATAATCTTATTTGTTTATATATATAAAAAAGTAGCAAATATATAATCACTGAAGACTTTTTTGTTAAAAAGCTCATTAGTAATGTTTGTACAATTCAGCCAACAGGAGTCACAAGTTTCTGCAACTTTGATTTTGTGGGTTTAAAGGTGAAAACTTTGGGAACCACTGGGTTTTTCTAGCTGAAGACTTTGGGTGATTAAACTTTAATTCACGGAGAGCCCAACCATGTGGACGCTCATTATTATTATAGGCAAAAACATAAAACGGGCAATTATACAAAATCAAAGTAGCAACTGAGATTAGCTCTCATTAAGACTGTTTTCTCTGCCTCTATAGTTTGTCGTGCTGTGTCAATTAGCCCTGCATCAGTAAAAAAGTAATTAGGAACATGTGAGACACATGAATTGCTGCTTGTGTTTGTAGAAATTTAAGAAGGGTTGGGTGGAAGAAAGGTCCAACAATTACTGACAAATTCAAATGTTTTTTTTCTAAATTGTCCATCCCTTACTGCTTCTGCATCCCTCGTGGACCTAAAATGTTTTCACGTAATTACAAACAGTATACTAGTGTGCTTATAATGCCCTGTGAGCAGTTTGCTTCTAAGTACTTGAGGTTAGTCATGTGACGGTCCAAACAAGCAACGGCATGATCATGCACAAATCACTGGGTTCCTCTTCGGGAGAACTGGAATGATTTATTTTCTAAGAAATATGTTTTTACGATGTTAAAGACAATTCAAGAGCATTTGTGTATAATTCTTAAACCTAAATAATCATTTTGTTTTTACTGACAAACGGATGAAGTCGACACAGGCCGGAACAGACACGTGGCAGTGATACCAGTGTGTTTGTTGAGGGGGAAAACGCAGCGCATCCTGTTGTCGTTGTTGTACTCTCTCAGAGGTTTTGTAAGGCAGAGACACGAGACTGTCTTTGATGGGAAAATCCTACCTGGGTCCCGGTACACCATCTGGATTTGTACCAACACAACATGAATGCTAACAAAAGTCTAACATTTTTTGTCCATAGACGTTTGTAAAACCTTTGCTTCTATTACGACGGCAGGATTCTCAATGTCAGCTTTGCTCTGGATCATCCTCAGCTCCAGCTGTGCAGGACTGGGCTTGTTCCCAGGACCAGCCACCCCTGAATGAGGAAAAAGGCAGCAATCAGCAGGTTTGTAAACTTGTAGGCACAACCCCATTAGTGTTACTCCTGCTCCTAGAACACACAACACCCCTGGCTAATAATTTTAAGTCACAAAAGAGGTAATGGTTGAAATATTTCCTTACACAATTAAACAGCTCTTCAAGAAGCTGGTCTGTCGTCTGTGTAGCTGATTCCTTTTAGAGTTTTTGTCAGTTACGATTTTCGTCCTTGCTGCTATTATGTACATTATAGGCATATTGTTGCTGTTATCTGCACGAAACAATAAAAAAAAAAAGTCTAACCCTAAGAACTGCTGGTGGATAAGGTTTTGGCATAACAAGTATAAAACAGCAGACTAATTTTATTATAGTTAGCCAAATGCTAGTAAGAAGAGTAGTAATATTTAAACATAAATGTTACATTCACTCTAAAGCTTTGTTTGAAGTGAGTGCTTGAAAACCTTTAGTTTGCAGGTTCAAATAGTCAACTATACCTCCTTTTCATCCCAAAAATATTCAAGACACTCTTAGGCACTGGTGATTGTACAAAACAGAGACAACTATTTGGCTTTTAGCAGCTTCAACAGAAAAAAAACTATAAACTATCTGAAATACCAACAATGAAGCAGTTTTTATGTGCTGCTGATTATCCATGCTGCCGATCTCCTGCTGCTGATTATTTCATGCTGCTGTAATCATTCATACTCATCTACTCACAGACTCATGTTCGTGCTGCTGTTGTTCAGCATATTGTTTTGAACTCCCGGGGTATTAGTGTTTAGCGTATTTCTTAGTTTATAGCTTAGATCTTATTACTGTTTCTATTTACAATATATATATTTGCTATTGTTGGACGTAACTGGGACCCTGCGTACACAATTTTGTTCCACCTCATGTACCACATGTGACGTGAATGATAATAAAACCAACTTGAACTTTTAAAAGACTTGCTTTAAGAAACTACAGGACGTCGTATAAAACTGTCATTTTGAGTTAATACAACACAAGCAGACGATAACAAGATGTCAATATCCAAAGTGAGGAGCGCGTGACAGAAACAAACCCTACCATTAGCATAAGTGATGGTCCTCTTAATGACATGGTGCATAACGGAAATGGTCTTTTCACAGGCAGTCTGAAACACAGTCAAAAGAAGACGCTACACTAAACTGTATTTTTGTGTGAACAGAAATGAAACATTTAACGAATGGACAGTCGACTTTTTACTGAAAGCACAGCGGACCTTTAGGTCGTTGGGGTGATGATGAGTCCAGGCTAGCAGCATGGCAGCAAACAGGTCTCCTGTTCCCACAAACACAGCATCAACTTTAGGGATGTCCAAACTAATTTTCTGACAAGTGCTGGTCCCATCTGGTTTTCCTGCAGAGAGGATCAAAAACAAGACAGATGGCAGTGGAACTCCTCTCAGCAGGAACCAAATTATTGTGTAAAGAAACAGTCTTTGATTGAGAATGTCAACGTCAAATGTTATACAGATTTTCATTTTGAAGCTCTTTAACAAAGAGGTCAATAACTTACTTATTATTTGGCTCCCAAGGGCCACCAAAAACTGATCCCCACGTTTAGATGGCAAGTCTGTGCTTGTGAGGACCACCGTCTCTGGACCCATTTCATGAAGCAAGTCCATCACCTGGAGAACAGAACCAAGGACTGAACTCTCAGGTGCCACAAACGAATAAAAACTCAACAAGCAAGAAATGTTTATGCTGGTCACCTTGATAGCATCATCCTCTGTGGAAATGTTCTTCCCAGTTAGCAACCTAAAGTAAACCAGAACAGAGAAAAAAGTGCGAGAAGCTTTAAATCTTGATCAATTTCTTCTTTTCTTTAACAAGTTTTTAACGTGAACTCACTCTGCTTCAAACTGGTTGGGGGTAAGGATTTCTGCCAAAGGCACAACTTTATTCTTGTAGATAGGCAACAGCTTCTCTGGAACATACTGATACAAGAACAGAACAAAACAACAACTTTTAAATAACCGTTTCAACCAGCTGCCTAAAAAGACATCAATGCATACAAACCAAATGAACACAAAACGTTTGTGCAGTGCTTTAAATGTAAAACTATTGAATTATGTGCATAAAATGTCCATTCAGATCTATACACAGGACAGAAAACCATGCACAGTTATTACATGCTTACCATCGCACCATGGTCTCCCAAGACAGGATCACAAACTGCAAAGAACAGAAGTCTCAAACATGAAATTTTAAATCAAGTTAAGAAAAATTATTTTTGACTGTTTTAAAATGGAAAACCCAATTTACTCACCATACACCAAGCTGGGATTGGCCTTCTTCAGTTCCTTGATAATATCAACCACAGTTTCCAGGAAGGATGTGTCCCGGCTGTACCCTTAGGGGAAAAGTTGTAACGATAACGAAAAGATTATAGAGCTCATAATAAACTGATAGTACAAAGATGACTCTACTGGTCCATTATTTCTGCATGAAATGCTGCATTTCTCTTCTTCACAGATCAATATATTTATCTGCACAAACGTGTTTTTGTGATCCGTCAGCAAATGTTTGCCCTGGAGTGAAAATATTTACATCCTTTTAGAGTCATTTAATAATAAATGTCAAGTTTGAACCAATTATGTTACTTAAAAATAAGACTACAAGTCTCACTGTGTCTTGTGGGCGGTGGGATGAGTTATTTTTACTGCCATGAAACAATGGTGGACACATACATCTTAATGAATATGAATAATGAAAATGGTCCCTTGTGACTTACATCAATTATATTTTCATTCATAAGGATGTGATGTGTAAATGTTTTCACTGCTGGATTTGACGAAGTCAGAGAGGTCAATACATCAGGCTGCATTTATACATATTTTCATTATTTAGATTTTTTTTTTCCTAAGCTGATTTGAGTCAAATACTAAATAATAAAAACACTAAATTACAATGTTTGCTTTTGTCCGAACACATTGCAACATATTCATTCAAAGACTGACCAAAAGTTAAATATTGGTATTCATAAGTACATTAACTTTGAGTTCAGTTCTGGACTTTTGGTAATAAAATTTTAATTATTGCAGCATCAATTTATTTCTCAGAAATTATCCAAAAAATCTAAATGCATTGACCTACAGTTTAGGTTTTCATAAAAAAAAATATTGTAGACTATGATCAAAAGCATATGTGCAACATTTTGTGCTTCACACTGCCTCACCTGTGAGAATGTAGTCGTAATGGTTGACATTGTTGAGCTTGATGCCGTCGTACAACACGTTCAGTTCCTCTGCGGTCAGAACTTGCCCCTTCCAGTGGGCGTAGCCTGGAAGAAAACGTGATGCAGGACACCTTTCAGATTTATAACCGATTCATTCATTCCTCGATTCATTCATTCCTTGATTCATTCATTGCTTCATTCCTTCCTTCCATCCATCCACCATCTCCCGCTTGTTCTGAAGTCAGGTCATGGGGCAGCAGCTTGAGCAGGGAGAGCCAGACATCTCTTTCCACAGCCACCTCTTCTAGGAGGATTCCAAGGAGTTCCCAGGCCAACCGAGAGACATATAGTCTCCCCAACGTCTTGGGTCTTCCCTCAACTGGCTCCTCTCGATGTGGAGGAGCAGCAGTTCTATTCAGGGTCTCTCATGGATAACTGAACTTCTCATCCTATCTCTAAGGGAGAGTCCAGCTGCCCTTCAAACACATGCATCCATGATCTCGTTCTTTCTGTCTCTACCCAGAGTTTATGGCCATAGGTGAGGGTAGGAATGTAGACCGACCAGTAAACAGAGAGCTTCGCCTTACAGCTCAGCTCTCTCTTCACCACAACGGACCAGCACAGAATCCGCAATACTGCAAACGCCACACCAATCCATTAGTCAATCTCACATTCCATTCTTCCCTCTGCAGGCTGCGGACCGCTTGGCCCTCCTGTGCTCCTCAGCTGCCTCCAGAGTCCCACCAGCCACCAAGGCCCAATAGGACTCCTTCAGCTTGACAGCCTCCCTAACCCAGCGTGTCCAGCACCTGAGTTCAAGGATGGCCACAGTGAGAAGCACCAACAACCCAGTGGCCACAGTTCAAGGCAGCCACTTCAACAACTGAGGAGCGGAACATGGCCCACTCGGACTCAATGACCCCCGCCTCAGCTGGGATGCGGTTAAAGCTCTCCCAGAGATGTGAGTTGAAGATCTTTCTGATGGGTTCTTCCACCAGGTGTTCCCAGTAAACCCTCATTACACGTTTGGGTCTACTGGGTCTGTCCAGTATTTTCCCCCGCCATCTGGTCCAACTCACTAGAGGTGGTGATCAGTTGACAGCTCAGCTCCTCTCTTCACCAAAGTGTTCAAAACGAGCGGCTGCAAATCAGATGACACGACTACAAAGTCAATCATCGATCTATGACTGCGTCCTGGTGACAAGTGCACATACGGACACCGTTAGGTTCGAACACGGTGTTCGTTCAACAGAACACCGCTCTGGTTCAGATGAGAGAGGCTGTTCCTCCCAATCACGCCCCTCCAGAACTGACTAACTGATTGGATGTGATTAAAAAAACACAGATGACTTAAACTGGTGGAAAATTTAATCAATTATTGCTCTGCCATGTCCCTGAAAAATTAACTACAATAAATAAATAAATACAACTGTGTTCTCAATAAAAGAACATTTATCCCTACCTAAAATGCCAAAAATATGCTTTTTGTAAAATTAACCTAAAGTTGCATTAGCATTAATTTACAGTGGATGTGCCCTTCTCTGCTCCGCATTTCCAGCCCCCAACCTCTTTGTGATGTCGGGGGCCGAGCTGGGGCCTCCACACGGACTGAATGGGAACCCTGTATCCCGACTGCCAGTTCCCTTCTTTGTTTTCCGTTCACATTTTACCTCGAAAAAACTGTTAAACGCTGATCTGACTGCTAATGAGTAGAGACAAAATGAACACAGGCAAGGACACAGTTTGGCACACTGGAGGACAGAGTTCACACAAAGTCCAATTCTGACCCTGAGCCAGTGAACGCACCTCCAGAGAAAAAGCTCACAGGGAGAGAGATGTTTACTCAGGGAATATGTACAAGTACACGCTGCTGCCTCCAGTGCCAATAAATATTTATAAAGAATAGTACTTAAGTACACAACTACAATTCTGAAAAAGTTGAGAGATTGCGTAAAATGCAAAAAACAGAATCTCATAAACTCATATTTTATAGAATGGAACAAAGTATTAAGCCTTCTTTTTCTTTTTCTTAAGAGCAGTTGTTGATATTACTGAAGTGATTTTTGTGTAAATGTCTCAAACTCCTGTTGCTGAAACAAATTCCTCACATACTTCAGCGCTTGAACCCCAGATAATAATCCGATCATCTCTGCGTGTGTCCTGAGCCCTTCTTTTTTCACCAGGCTATTGTTTTCCTTTACGGGGCAGCGGGAAACATTTTCCATCCTTGATATCAAATTTGTGAAAAAAGGAAAGCTCTAGTTTACTTCCCACATGCTGTTTAGTAGCATCTATCTGCTATGAAAGCTAATAAATCTGATGTTTTAAAAAGGAGAGCTGTTTTGGAAATACATTTTCTCTTCGTAAAACTCCATTCATTGCATTCTTTTGTTTTTAAAACAGATTTTTCTTTGGAAATCCAAAGAGTGACGAGTCATTGCCAGCCGTGGGAATTGTTTCTGATCTGCTTCAAACGAGTGTAAATAGAAAAGTGTGTAAATTATATGAGGCCAATGACATGTCTCATTATGAGTGAGCAGGTAGTGCATTAGTCTCCAAACATAATCAAAGGGAAAGTGTTTCTACACACCGTGAAGGTTTTAATGCAAGTGGATTATGACACCTGATCAGATGTTCTGACATCTATAGTGGCACCGGACAAATTTGTTAGACACACAGGATTGACCAAATAAAAATAATACAAGTTGGCGTTTAGGAGTAGACCTGACGTGATAAACAATAAATCAATTAATTTATTTATCTACCTCATTTTTATTTAATGGCTTTACCGTTTCTTCGTGTCTCTCTCTTTCTACTGAAGACACTGGATGACAAAAGGCTCAACTCCGGTGCTCTTCACTGACCCCTCCCTTTCTCTTTAAAATCTGTTTTAACCATCAAAAATCGTGTCTTTGGATCGTTAAAAGCAGCTAAGCTGGGAAGCTAAGCTAAGCTAACAGGCCGACCTCGGGGAAAGAAAGTCCGTCTTGTGGTAGCTCCAAAATTCATGGTTGAAACCGGTGCCTTCGTGTAAAAAGTTGTTTTTCTCTGCAAAAAGAAGCTGAGAACTTGTTTACTGATTTTTTAATTAAAAGCTTTGTGTGAAAAATGCTAAAGAGCTCAAACCACACTGAGCATCCGCCATTTTGATTACAC